GATATCACATAGACGATCTATGATTTTATCAGTATCTCCCGCTTTATAAAAAAAAATCTTGGTAATAACTAATAAGCGATCAACCGGAGATCGCTTAGGCGATCATAAATGATGCATGGGCGATCTATGATTTCATGAGGATCTCACACTTCATAAAAATCATATAATAACTAATAAGTGATCAATTAGAGAACACTTAGGCGATCATAAATAGTTCACGGAATAATTTAAAGATAACACATAGGCGATCTATAATTTCACCAAGGTCTCCTATTTTATAAAAGCGTTCATTAAAAAAGTAACAAGCGATCAACCGGAGATCACTGAGGCGATAGTAAATAATACATGCGTGATTTTTAGATAACACATAGACGATTAATGATTTCATCAATATCTCTCACTTTATAAAAATATGATTCTTATAATAACTAATAATCAATCAACCGGAGATCAATTAAGTGATTATAAATATTATATAGGCGATTTTTAGGCAACACTATAGGCGATCTATGATTTCACCAGGATATCCCACTTTATAAAATCAATCTTGGTAATAACTAATATACGATCAACTGGAGATAATTTAGGCAACCATAAGTAATACATAGGCAATTTCTAGATAACACATAGGTGATCTATGATTTCACCAATATATTTATAAGAAAATAATTTTGCTAATAACTAATAATCAATCAACTGGAGATTACTTAAGCGATCATAAATAATACATGAGCGATTTGTAGGTAACACCATAGACAATCTATGATTTCACCAGCATCTCCACCTTTATAAAAAATAATCATCATAATAACTAATAAGCAGTCAACCAGGAGGTAGTCATAAATAATATATATATATATATATATATATATATATATAAGTGATTTATAGATAATACATATGCGATCTATGATTTCAAGGAACTCAAAAATAAATATTCATTGAGTTTGATTTTTGATGTAATGAAAATCTAAAGCAAATAGATATGTCTTGAATTAAAATAAAATAAGGTAATTTATCTCAAAAGGAATAGTATTTGTGGCAATCAAAAGTCTACATGATTGGTCGTCGCTTCTGGTGGCGACCCACTATGTTGCCCGTTCTTAAACATGAGTGACTAATAATCCTTAACTGGGAGCCTAGGCCCATTGGCTTTATCTCAAAAAAGAATAGGGCGCGTACCCGCGATTCCCTAGGTTATATTCAGAAGACTCAGAGGGGGTGCATGAGAAGATAGTTTATATGTACAGTTCAACAATATCAAAGCAGTAAAAAGTGACTCAGAGGGGGTGCATGGATTGTAGATTGTGGGTTAAAGAGTTTTTTCAATTAAAGTGACAAACTTGAGTAGGGATAATTATTTTATTTACAGAGTCGCCACTTGAAATTGATTTTTGGGTGTTGCATGTTACCTTTTATTTGAATCCCTAATCAAAGGAAGGTTTGACTCTATTATTATTGGTCTGTGAAAATAAAGTTCGAGTAAGGAATTCTGTTGACTAGGGAGAAGGTGTAAGGAATTTTCCGAGTACCGTGATTCTAGTACGATCATTTTATTGACTACAACTTGGCTTGAATTAATTTTGGACAAATTATTATTTATTGGATCTCATGTTTTACCTATGTTCTATTTTATTGCTTGATTAGATTTATGAAAATTATCTTGAAACGAACTACGTGTGTGTAATCCGTTTTATTTAATGTTGTAAAATCATATCACGTGTACATACAGATTAATAACACTTTATTATTTATTAAGATTGTTTGGCCAAAGTCGCATAAACGCGTACTTTGATTTATTTTAGAATTATAATTATGTCACGCGAACGTATACATAATCACGATAGTTTGATTAGTATGCACCTAAAGCACACTAGCGATTTGTGAGTAATTTCTTTGCTACATTTGGGATTGTTGTGAGGCCGTGATTTTATGAAATTACTTGTGGAAAAAGTGTATGATTTTAGATATTTGAATAAATAAGCCATCATATACCAACACCCTACAACCCAACAATTGAAGCTCAAACTTATTAGGGTCCAAATCTTCATAACTTTAAATTAAGTTTGAATACCATATTTCAAGAAACATGATTAAGTATATAGCATTTAAGGACTAATTTATATTATTATTATAAAGTTTAAAGGCAAATAAATATAATCAAAATTAACCTTAACTGCCTTCTTATTCAACCTAACTCAAACAGACATAAAACTGAATTTGCAAACCATTCACAAAAATATTATTTTAAAACATGAAATGCAAATAAATAATCACACGGACTCACATGAAATAAGATAAAAAGAACAAAGGAAAGAATAAACTTTTAACGCAAAATTTCCAATTAAATGAGTCTTCAAGAACAAATACAATAACTCACACGAACCTCGAACAAGCATAAGCGAAGAAGAACAACAAAGCTAGCGAACGGAGCTCTAACGGAATCCTCGATCTCGACTATTGACTCCACTGTTTGGAGTATAAAAAGGGACTGTTTTAAAGTATTTTTGTTGGGTTTTTTCGTTGCTGATTTTTAGGGAATAGAGGTGGTTGTTTTGTGGTGTTTGCAAGCTAGTTTGTGGAGGGAGAATCGTTGTGTTTTTGCAGCAGCTTTAGAGCTGAAAATTGGCGTTAATGAAGATAGGTTTTGCAACTGTTTTGCTGCATTTTTTGGGCAACTTTTGCTGTAATTTCAGGCTGCTTTTTGCTGGAGTTCAGGGTGAGATTCGTGGCTATTTTTTGCTATATTTTGGGGGTAGTTTCAGTTGATTTTTGTAGCTAAAAGATTGCTGGATTTTGACTAGTTTTTTGGCGTCAAAGAGGTGGCTAAAGATGATGCTCTACATGGTGTTTGGGTGGTATTTTGGGGGTCGTCTTCAGCTGGGTTTGGTGCTGGAATTTAAGGGTAGTTTAAGGCTGTCTTGGAGATCATTTTGGAACTGTTTCGCAGCTGGCTTTGGCTGCGTTTTTGGGGCTGAAAATAATGGTGTTTTGGAGGAGGAAGAAGGTGTTTTCTGGCTGGCCTTTTTAGAGGGTGTTTGGATTGGCTTAAAAGCTGGTCAAACCAGCTTAAAAGCACATTTTACCTTATTTGAGTGTTTGACAAACCTTAAAAGAGCTTTTAAGCTAAGTACTTTTAAGCTGAATTAAGCCAAAAGCCACAAGTTGGGGACGACCAACTTATTGTTTGTTAGCTTAAAAGCTTTTTTATGTTTGACCAAGTAATTAACCTTATTATCCCTCCTTTTTTTTTATAAATTACAAAATACCCTTAGTAAAGTCATAACGTCATTTTTTTCCCATCTTCCATTTTGACGTTGCAGGTATCTTTCTTCACATTATTATAATAAATAAGTAGCTTTATTTTTCTGTGATAAGTAATTAATAAGACCCTTAATTACCTGACATTAGACAAATGTGAGAACTAGCAGAGGAGAAAAGAGACGATGCAAAGACTGAGGCATTAGTTTAATTGGCATTAATTTATACTTCTATTATATTTTTTTTATTTCACTCTAGAAACAAATAATTTTATTTAGTAGTTGAATATTCAGAGCAAAAGCATGTTACAATTCTATTGGCATTCAGATTATATTTATTAAAAATAACCTTATCTAATTAATTTAATTTAGAGTTAATTAAGACATAAATTAGTCCGTATTTGAGTTAATTTTACATTAAGGATGTTGTAGTAATAAGCTTATTTTCAGTATTAACAGCTTTAAGAATATTTCGGTCATTTTAACAGAAAAAGTGCTTATTTGCACTTGTTTACCAAACACTTCAACAACTTTTTTTCAACTTCAGCACTTTTATCCAAATGCATAACAAATTATTTAGAAAACAAACTCCAGCACTAAAAATGTGCTTTTAAGCACTTGTGCTTAAAAGTCACTTTTTTTAAGCCAATATAAACGGACTCTTAATGGGGTTTTTGGGTGTATATATAATAAAAAAGAAGAGAGAAAGAGTGTAGGAAGATGATGATGGGACAAGGAAATAGTGAAAGGGGGTGTGATGTGATAAGTGAATAGTGTAGTAGGTAAGTGATGCGACAAAGAAATAGTGTAAGGAAGGTAAGAAGTAATTTTATTAGATTTGGTCCGTGATTAAAATAAATCATTCGTTCCTCTATGTAATAGACTTTGTTAAAAATATTATTATTCTCTAATAAAGCCTACTAATAAAAATAACATAATTGTTAAAATATCAAAATTAAACCTAAAAAATATTAAATACAAAAATATAGAAAACTCGAGTGTGGTAAAAATTATGTACTCACAATATTTTTAAATGGTTTTGATTTATAATAAATAGGGTGTATACCTTTGCTATAGAATGATGAATGTTGAAAATAATAGAGCATGGACTTATTACGTGAAACTCAAATCGACGTTTTAATCCAATCAAAAGTGGGCTCTTAAGTAATTTTATTATTGGATTAAAATAGATAGTTGTGATTCAGATCAATTCTTGTATTTAGGAATTAACTCAAATATTATAGTCTCAATTCAATAATGTTTAAGTGTCTACCGAGTCATATATATTAAATTCCATAATCCTACTGTAAAAGAAAGAAGAAGGGCATGTTATGAAGTAAATGTCAAGCACTTCCATCTTTTTACGTTCCAAAACAATGTGGACGATTCTCAAATCACTTACTGATACTAGCTAACAAACATTTTCACCCACAAATTAATTATGGAAATGTATAATCTAAACTGGAATACTAATTAGTCCTTAGGATAAGGATGAATTAACTTTTATCTTGTCATAATTCTGTCGCGTAAGGAGACATCATTCATTTAATTCCCAGGCTGCAGTAGCCAGTAGGGAAAAGAATTGTCTGGGTTCTTTAGAAAATGAAAAGCTATAACCACTTATAGAGAAGTATTTGTGGTCCTAAAATGGGTATTGTGGCTTGTAAGATCTTCCTTTTGATAATCACTTCTCTTCTCTTCCACACATTCCTCTTTGTACATAATTGCCTTTGCTAAGTGATGTCTAATCCAATCTTTTTTTGCAGAATGATATTTAGCATCTTTGTTGGCTTTTGATACATTATATTTATTATATTATATAGAAAAGCCGTGCTTGGTCGACCAAGGGTAGAATTATTATTTTACTCTGTCATTTTATTTTTCATACGCTGCCTCCATATTCTAGAACCGTCCACACTTTCATCTTCTTTCTTAACTCTCTCGCTTTCCCTTCATCTTCTCGGCTTTGGGTTTTACCACAATTTTTTCTTAAATCTTCTTCCACATCTTTTCAATTCATCCTCCTCTCTTTTTCAATCTTCTGTTCATTACTCTTTTTTTTAATGGATTTCTTCCTATTTTATCAGCTTCTTGCTTGAAGTATCTATATTTATGGGTCTTCTACTTTGGATATTACAAGGTTCGGGTTAGTGTGTGAGCTATTTTCTGTTTCAGTCTTTCTTCTATTTTGTTTCATTTTTTGTCTGTTATTATCCTTTGTTTGTTGTTATTTATTTTGGATTTTCTTTTGTGCATTTTGTTTCTTCTTTGTATCTCATGTTTAGTTTTTGTCTTCATATGCAGACTCTATCAATATAATACTTCTGCTTTCATTTGTGGTCTAAGCTGACGGGGTTAAATTTTTAGTTAAATTTGATTTAAGTTTCTTTTCATTTGGTTTTCTTGCTTTTTCTTTCTGCCTCTTCTTGGTAGAAAAACACTACCAATGGAACTGAGTTTAATATGGAGCATGTGGGTTCTGCTACCTGAAGCTTGAGTTAGTTTTAATTGGGTTTTGTTATATTTTTAGGTAAAACGTTTTGTGCAACAAGTGTTTGATGAATTTATTGAAAGAAATTACTTTACATTAAACTTCTAGATTCTCCCTTTTTGAAGCTTGAGCTTTGATAGATCATGGCTACACAGTTTGTGGGTTCAAAAGCAATATACTCTGTTTGACAAAGAACTTTCTATCCTTATGGTCTCTCCATCTCGAGGAATTAATCACTTGTAATTTACATCACGTCTTCTTTCATCGGAAAGAACAATCTAGAAGAACTTTATATCTCTGCCACAAAATTCAGTCATATCTCAAAAAAATTGAATATAGCCTATAGTCTATCTTTCTTTCCTTTTTGTTATAATGGTGGTGATAACACCTTCTCATTTATCCCATTTTTTCTCTATTTATTTAGATGAACCGAAAAACACAATGCATTTTTTTCGTGTTGTGGGAAGACTTTGCATTGATTAATAATTATAGGAAGATCACTCTACCACATTGCTTTGTCCTCATTTGATATTTTATCAAATTTAATAACTACTGAAGCAGAACAAGAATTAGAAAAATACATTAACTTTATGTTAAACTTAAAACACATATCTTCTCTAACCATCATAATTCATCTAACTCATTTTACAAATGAGTTTAATGACAATCGTTTAATATCATTTCTCTTGTATCTATCTTCTTTTCAATTTCTGACTTTGCAGAGAATGTTCAAGATTTGTTCTCACTTTGAATTTAACTTATTGAAACAGGTTTGTACTCAAAAGATAGAAAAATATTTACTTGCCATGGTATTGAAAAACTCGACGCACCTTCCCCATCACTTTCAGAAAGGTTATAAATTATCTATCTTGGTACCGTTTCTTTAATCCCTCAATATGTTGTTCTCCACGTATTATGTTTATCTTTATGATGGTAAGGTCTAAATCTCTGCACGTAATTTGTTGGGTGTGCTTGCTTTTGTACTTTGATTTAAAGTTAAACTCTTTCTAAATAAAGAAGTATGATATTCTTTTTGGGATAAACTCAAAAGAAATATAACACATAAATTGGGACAGAGAAATTATATTTTATTTGTGAATTACAACACAATTACTCTATACCCCATTGTACTATTTCCATGAGATACTTTTGTTATGTGAGTTTATGCACTAAGGTTGAGTACAAACAGAGAAAGGATGGTTTAGCATGATTAATGTGGAGTTATTTGGTAACTGTTATATGGTATAACTTTGTTATTTTCTTTGTTCATATATCATTGTAAATTGGATATGTGTAACATGTTGATGCCAAGGACAAACCAAAAATTTGAGAAAGAAAAATATATTACCTGGACTGAGTCCGTTTCAAACATGTGGTGCTCTTGCAGACAGAATAACACAAAAAAGTTATTGATGTTACTTGGGTTATCAAGCATTTAGATTCCATGTTGATTAACTTCTAATCAGAAGGGTCAAGATTAAGCATTATTTTGAGCTGACTATATTTTGAAGGACATTTTTTATTTGATTACATCTTCCGCAGTATTTTGTGAAATCTAAATTATTTTTATTTGTTGATTTTGTTATAGACTGATTATTCATCAAAGAGAAGTTTAAGGAAGTCATCCTTTTAAAGAAGTCTGATGACTGAGGTATGTATTGGGTCATGAGCAACAACAACTTGATGAGTAAATAAAATACGTTTATTGCCAAGTACCTACTCTAAAATAATGCTGAGATGATATAAAGAAATGCCATGTCAGTCCATATTTTATTCTTTTAGTGGTGATAAAAATTGTATCAATGAACCTACGTCACAACTGTATATTTTAATGAACTTTTTAGACATTTGCTAATCATGTGATTGCGCTTACTTCTTTCTTTTGTTTGAGGGTAAGTAAATCTAGACAAACTTTTCTGGAGATCGTTTGCATTAAATTTTCAGCATATTTATGTAGTTGTTAGCATTAGCTTATTAATAAAAAAAAGAATTAATATTTCTTCAATTTTTTATAATTGTTAACCAGTATAATCTTAAGGATCCGAGGACCCCATACACTTTTGAGAATGCATTAGTTTTATGATGCATAAGTAGATTGTAGTAACGACGTCTTTGCTTTAAACACATTGCTAGTGTGACTCCGAACTTGGATATAGTACTCTAGAGTAATTGATTTGCATAGATACTTGGCTTGTGTCTATGTTCTCTCTTTCTAGCTTATTTTTGTATGATGATATATTTCAAATTCTTGGTGTGGGACTTGTAGTAGTAAATATTTTCTATTAAGAATATTTAATATCTTATTCTTTTCTCAAAATAGGAGCAAGCTCTCATGATGGAGATCAGGAAGAATATAAAGTAGCAGATGTTTCCTGCAATGTGCAAATCCTTGCAATACTCTATATGGCTCTTAACTTGACTACCTAATTTCTATTGTTCATAGGTGGTATAGCTTTGATAGCAACATAATACGTTTGGTTAATCATGTGGTATATAATGATAGGTAGGAAATGAACAATTAGTCATATGCTTGGATTTGGTTTTGTAAATGATTTTAAAAGAAAAGCACAACAAAATGAAATATCTGCTCGGTTCTACACACGCCGGCCCCCTGGGGGAGGTAAATATGGTTTTCTATGTCTCACTATTTACTGAGAACGGAACTGTCTTTTTGTTTGTGATATGATTATTTTAAATAACTTATTGTTATTCATAGTTGCAATCAGATATAAATATGCGTTCATACACAGTTAAAATTATATTATATCAGAACTCAAATTATTAGACTGTCGGCCAAAATTATAGACTTAAATTATTGGACTCATGTATAATTGTTGGGCCCGTGCTATGCACGGGCTATACCCAACTAGTAATAATATAAATGTTCTTGCTGTCTGCTGCTAGCTGTATGGTATATTGTCGTGCGGGACAATAATGTCACGGTGTTCACTTTTGGAGTCTCACGTGGTTTAAGTCCTTGATAGCAAGTAATCTAGCTTGTATAAAGATATGAGGTCCACTTGGGTAAAAACTTATTTATCAGGTGTTTACATCAATTTTAGTTAAGTTAATCAAAGAAGGAAAACTAAAGTTTATTAGGAGTCTTTATCAATAAATGAATTTTTTTAAATGATAATAGAGCCATAATAAAAAAGTTTTAGGGCTCCGTTTATGTCTTTGTTATAGTTCCGTCAATCTTATTGAAAGATTTAGTTTATCAAATGTAAGGCATATTACTACCTCAATCATCTACAACCAAAAGAAATCTGTTCACCCTTCTTCGTAAAGTAATTAAACCTCCGAAACCCGTGACATCTAAAGCTAGAAAAGTAGTGTGAGAGGGATCTAATTTCTCGAGATTGGTATCAAGAGTCTTTTTGGTGGAATAGAGCTTTGCTTCTTCTAACTTTTATTTTAAATATGTATTCCATTACAATGGTTGGCCGGCACTTAGTTTGAGCAGATAATTATTGAAAAATCTTGGCCACGAGAAATAAATGATTGTATAATGGAAAGGGGAATTTGTAAATGGCAATAAAGAAATAATTCTCGACTTCTTATCACTTCATAAGAATTATTGAAATATTTTGGCCACAAGAATTGATAAAAATGATTTACTATTTTTATTCAACTTGCCGTTAAGAGCACAAGGGAATAGCAAGGTGATCAAGTATAATTTTATATTATTATTTAAGATCATGTAAAAAAATAAAAGGTAGCTAACCATAGTTAAGTACTAACAATTGTAGTTAAATATAGTGACAAGTGTCATTTATTTATTTGTTTTGTATAAATATTCGGTGCGGGTAAATTTTTACCGTCTACTTGGTGTGAACAAAAATAAAGAGAACTTTTTTGGACTTCATTATTGCCCTCAACGCGCTTAACTATATAATATAAAGTAGGATTAATAAAGATTGTAGTACCAAGTTTATGCCTCATTGGCATAACCGACGAACAAGATGTAAGATTTGCCAATTCGATAAATTGTTAACAATTTAACAAAATAGATGAAATGAAAATTGTATTAAAGTTGTACCTCACGCAACAAAACTTGTGAACAAGGCAAGAATTGTCATTTTGGGAAGGTTTATGAATAATTTAATAAAATAGGTAAAATAAAGGTTGTACCCGCACCCGACAAAATAGGTAAAATAAGTAACATCGATGGTATTTTTACACAACTTCCTTAAAACGATGGGAAATATAAACAATGGCGATAAATGATACCGTTTATGCAAATCCCCCAGCATATACAAGGCAGAAAAATACTTACTTTTTTAGAATCACCATTTATATTTTGACCACAAGAATTGATGCCAGAATCATAAAGCATGCAGGCAGAATTTTTCCATATGAAAAAAAGTGTGACGATTGCCATGTTTTGTGGTAAATCTTGGTGATCACCATTTGAATATTTATGGGGATTATTATATTTTTGCAAATTGCGATGATCACTCATTCGAAACTGTCACGACCTAAATGTCCCTCCGTAGGATATCGTGACGGCACCTAATCTCTAAGACTAGGTAAGTCTATCAACATGCGGAATAATTAAGATAACAATAAATACTCTTAAAATTCAACAACCCAGTACATATAGAAATTTTCAGAACCCAGTAAATTACAAGTCACAAGGTCTAAAGAAGAAATACCGAATATTTCTATACATCAGAGTCTAATGTGAATAGGAAAGACGACATGATAAGATAGAGGGGGACTCCGAGGTCTGCGGACGCTGGCAGATATACCTTGAAGTCTCCACGTACGATCTAGCTCATTGATACCTGAGTTGGTAGGGAGTACCTGGATCTGCACAAAAAGATGTGCAGAAGCATAGCATGAGTACACCACAGCGGTACCCAGTAAGTGTCAAGCCTAACCTTGGTAGAGTAGTGACGAGGTCAGGTCAGGGCCCTACTGGAATAATAAGAAACAAGACAGAAGATGTAATAACATAATAAAAAGACTAAAAATTTAACAATGAGAAATTTCAGGAAGGTAACAACACAGCACATAGGAGTAAACAACAAGGGCACTCCCGAGGTACCGCCTCATAGTCCCAAAAGTAAATGCAAGACAAGAGAGCTCCCGAGGTACCGCCTCGCAGTCCCAAAAGTAAATATGCAAGACAGGGGGAGCTCCTGAGGTACCGCCTCGTAGTCCCAAAAGTAAATATGCAAGACAGGGGGGACTCTCGAAGTACCGCCTTGTAGTTCCAAAAGTAAATATGCAAGACAGGGGGAACTCCCGAGGTACCGCCTTGTAGTCCCGAAAGTAAATATGTCGCGAAAATTAAAATAGGACGATTGAACAATGATACTTCAAGGATAGCAATTTCAAGCAAATAGTCCTACGGTTAAATAATGAGTACAAAATCAAGTAAACAGGTAATTCAATTAAGCATGCTGTACAAGTTGCAATTAAGAGATAAGGCACGTAGACATGTGAAATTAGGCTAAACATGATGATTGCACATGCTATAGAAACTCAATTAAAGCAATCAAAGGAAAACTATTTAGCGAAAACTAGATTTTTCCAACATATATCCCGTATATGTACTCGTCACCTCGCGTACACGGCCTTCACATATTGCAATAACCATAACAGTACCAAATCCTAGGAAAATTTCTCCCACATAAGGTTAGACAACACTTACCTCAACTTGCATTAATTCAATCCACTAGTAGGTCTTTTCCTCGATTATCTAACTCCAAATGGCTCGAATCTAGTCAAAATAATTCGATACAGTCAACACAAATTATAGGAATCAATTCCATATGAAAATACAAAAATTTCCAATAAAAATTCGAAATTTAACTCAAAAATTAATAATGGGGCCCATGTCTCGGAACCCGACAAAAGTTACGGAATATGAACTCTTATTCAACGACGAGTCTAACCATACCAAAATTACTAAATTTGATAAAAACTCGGCCTCCAAATCCTCAAATCTAACCAATAGGATTTTCATAATTTTTCAAGTTAAAACACCAATTAAATATTAAAAACAACCAAAGATTCGGGTACTTTAACCAAAATTGAGTTAGAAATTCTTACCCCAATATTTTCCTTGAAAATCTCCTGAAAATTGCTTCACCCAAGCACCCAAAAACGAAAAATTGAAGAATGAACATTGAACCCACGAATAGACCCTTTTTCTGCCCCAGTGCTTTCGCACCTACGGACAGTTTGGCGCGCCTGCGAGAAAAATTCCGCACCTACGGTGACCACTCAACAGACCAGGTTTCGCACCTGCGAGAAGAACACCCGCACCTGCGATGTCGCTTCTGCGACTCAGGCAGCGCACCTGCGAAGTCCTCCGCTTCTGCGCCTTCGTTGTCCGCTTTTGCGATCGCACAGGTGTGGAAAATTCTTCGCACTTGTGATCACTGCCTAGCCCTACCCATTCCGCTTCTGCGAACCACAACTCGCTTGTACGAGTCCGCACCTGCGGTCAGTCCCTCCGTAGGTGCGATGACAACAGAAGCTGCAAATTTCAGAATTTGCCTAAGTCCAAAAATTGATCCAATTTCGATCTGAATCACGCTTGGGGTACTCAGGACCCCGCCCGAATATACCAACAAGTCCCGTAACATAATACAGACCTACTCGAGATTTCAAATTACATCAAACAATGCTAAAATTACGAATCACACCCTAATTCAAGCTTAATGAAACTAAGAAATTCCAACTTCTGCATTCGATGTCGAAACCTATCAAATCAAGTCTGATTGACCTCAAATTTTGCAGATAAGTCATAAATGCACATAACAGAACTATTCCAATTTTCAGATTCAGATTTTGACTCCGATATCAAAAAGTCAACTCCCCGGTCAAACTTCCAAACTTAAATTTCCTATTTTTGTCATTTCAAGCTTAATTTAACTACGGACCTCAAAATAAATATCCGGATACACTGCTAAGTCCGAAATCACCGTACGGAGTTATTGAAATCATCAAAATTCTATTTCGGGGTCGTTTACACATAATTCATCATCCGGTTAATTATTTCAACTTAAACTTTAAATATTAGAACTAAGTATTTCATTCATCCTGAAACCTCCCCGACAAGTGATATAATTATAATTGAATACGGAATAAGTAGTAAGTGAAAGAACGGGGTTGTAATATTCAAAACGACCGGCCGAATCATTACAGAAATCTTCTGTCGATTGTCACATTTTTTAAATCATGATAATTACCATATAAACAGTTTTGGTGATTATCATATTTTTTGGCAAATTCTGGCGATCAGCATATGAATTTTTTTGGTTTTTGCTATATTTTTGTGACAAATCCTGAGAATCACTATTTCAAAAATTTCTGGCGATTATCACTTTATCAGGAGCGCTTCCCAAATTTTTGATGAATGTTATTTTACCTTACTACTCTTAATGAGGGCAAAAAATGAAGGAAAACTTACACAAATGTCCCAAATAAGTCTCAACTTACCAACCTCTAGCCATTAGTCATAGACTTACCAAAGCTAGTCAAGCACATATAAAAATTAAAAAATTAAATAAATAAGGTTCTTTCTTTCAAAGAATCACATACAAAAATCTTCTTCTATATTTTAAAGCGTGATTAGCAATATTAGATACAAGACGGAAAGGAAATTTCATGGATGAGGTAGCAAATA